TCACAGCTCACAGCACCTCAAACTCTTGGGCTTAAGTGATTCTCTTGCCTCAGCCTCCCAAGTAGCTGGGACTACAGGTGCCCGCCGCAACACCTGACTGTTTTTCTGTTGCAGTCGTCATTGTTGCTTAGCTGGCCTGGGCTGGGTTTGAACCCACCAGCCTCTGTGTATGTGGCTGTCCCTGTAACCACTATGCTATGGAAGCCTAGCTGAGGGCATTTTTTTCTTTTTTAAATAAGGAGATAAAATATGACCTTCCTGAGACCTGGAAATGTTCTTTTCTTTCTTCTTCTTTCCCTTCATAGCCATGCATGATTTAGGTGAAAATTGTATTGAATTCTTCTGTAAAACTAATTTTGTAAGTTTATCTCATAATCCTTAGACCTAAATGTTTTAATTTTCATTAAATTGAAAATAAGGTAATTTATTAAAGCTCAGTATGACTAAGTTATGTTTTCTAGTAGTTATGTGCAATTCTATTTGGATAATTATCTTCCTTGATCACTGTTTCTGCCAGTGAATTTAGGTCCTCAGCGAGGCTGCCTTATTGTTAATAAGTTTGTTCTGCTATCCATACCTAACCCACTGGCTCAGCTGTCTGATCACTCTTATACCAAATTACATTTGTAATTTCATAGAGAACTTCATGATGTTCAAGTAGCTTACTCTTTTGTAATAATTATAAAGCTGTATGCAAAGTAGTATACAATAATAATAAAGATTTTCGTTTCCCTTTTTCCCTTGTGAAATTTAAAGTGTCTTTAGGTTTTGTATTTATATTTAAGATCTAAATAATTAAAATATTTAACAATAATAACTAATACTAGTTTGGTTAACCTTTTAAATACTTTTCAAGATTGGAGTGTCAGATTTCAAAGACTCCTTTGGTAGTCATATTAATTTCAAGTATTTACATTTACGTCATCTCAGAATTGTGGGTTAGTAGTCCGGATGTTTATTTTCTATTTTATAGAGAAAGAACTCTTAACACAGTTTTTCACTTGCATAGGTTTATATAGAATTTTAATAGAATCAAATCCATTGAATTCTAGGTCAGGGGTCTTTCTGTTTCTGACTTACGAACTTTTAAAAATAAGCAGATAATTGCTTTTTAAAAAATTGTTATGAGTCAGAACAGGTGTAGAATGAACAAGAGTTTGTATTTTAATTTATGTGATACATTGTTTCAGAAAGAATTTTAGTTTAGTAATGTAAAAATACATTTGCTCTTATATTTGTGGGATTTTTCAGGGTAATATGGATGAATAGCCACAGTTGTAGTATTTTATCTTCCGGTATATTTAAGGGAGGTAACATCATTATCTTGGTTTTGAATGTCATTTACCTAGCAGATTGTGCATTAGTTATTTGTACAGTAATTTCTTTCTTTTCAACAGAGTTTGGAGTGGATCTATAGGATTCCATCTAGCCTGGAAATTCTAATTTCTTTGTAGAAAATACTAAAACAGAAGCAATTTATAACCAGTGTCTCTTTTAGAGCCTGGAGAGTTAGAAGTAAGGATAAGGATGAGGTGATTGGGTAGGAGAACAATTAACTATTTTGAAAATTGTCATCAGAATATTGCTTTAGGAATATGGGGGCATTTTTTTTTTTTAATTAAGAAGATAAAAGCCGCAGCCTTTTAGTATGACTTGGATCACAAGTAGCTGCTTCAAGAAATTATCTGTTTTCATGCAGGCTCATCAAACTATGGCAGCTGAATTTGACCTACTGCCTAAAAAAGCTTTATGGAATATACCCATGCCCATTTATTTACATAGTGTCTATGGTTGTTTTGCCCTAAAATGGCTGGGTTGAGTGGTTTTAAAGTGTATTTTCCACATAGCCCTAATATGTTTACTGTCTGAACCTTTAAGAACAGTGTTGCCAGCCCTTACATTGATTCTATTAGCAGATAGGGAAGTTGAAACCTGTCAGAATCAGCTGTGCTTTTTCGGACTACCACTTTCCTTCTTACTCTCTCAACCAAGACTGACTGCCCCACTCCCACTCCGTTGAGTCACAGTTATTAATTAGGATGATAGTACCCTTTTTGCATGTTTGAACAGAAAAGATTAACCACTGTACTAGAGTTTTGTGATTGCATTTTTAGGTTAGATGGCAATTTCTAATCAAACGATTGGTAGATTTAAGTTTCAAGTTAGGTGAGATTTAAAATTTTTTCTCAAAACTTATTTTCTCAGAAATTAAAAAAGATGTTTGTCTTATTTATATTAGTGAATAGTTGTTAATTTTCTCTCTAGTTGTTGCAGAAACTACAGGCAGCTTATCTGGAGTCAGTATCACATCGGAACTAAATGAAGAACTGAATGATTTAATTCAGCGTTTTCATAATCAGCTTCGTGATTCACAGGTAACTTAATTATTTCATATAGTTGAGTTTAAAATCACATTAATTAGAACAGTGGTTTTTAAGCATAAACATCACCTGCCATCATTATTAAGCAATGTAGGTTTCTGACCAGTAGGATCCCTACCTCCACAATTATGTCTCATAAATTTGGGGTGGGCGTCTCTCTATGTAATTTCAGTGTTGATGGTACAGGGACTGTATTTTGAGAAATTAGAGGAAAGTCTTGTTTCAAGTGAAGTCATTGGTGAAATTGTCTCTATGTATGCTACTAGATAACATTCTTTTTCCTCTAAAAGATTGTCACAACCTTTAAGACTTAGATTTAAATCTGTATCTTTATGATACTTTACTAACAATTTTTTTTTTTTTTTTTGAGACAGTTTCACTATATTGCCCTTGGTAGAGTACTGTGGTGTCATAGCTCACAGCAACCTCAAACTCTTGGGCTTAAGCGATTCTCTTGCCTCAGCCTCCCAAGTAGCTGGGACTATAAGCGCCTGGCTATTTTTTTGTTGCAGTTGTCATTGTTGTTTAGCTGGCCTAGGCTAGATTCAAACCTGCCACTCTCAGTGCATGTGGCCGACACCATAACCACTGTGCTATGGGCACCGAGCCAGCTAACAATTTTAAGAAAATTCTTAAGTGTGATTTGAGAGTTCATAAGTGTTATAATTCAATGAACAATGACATAAATGCAGATTTTCAATATGTGGGCTCTGGGTAAGAAAGGGTGAATTAATAACTCTCCAAGAGAAATAAGTATGATAGAAAATGGAGTGGCTTCTTGTCAGGGCCCAGCTTAGGCAGGTTCTGGACGCGGACCACTAAGCTACCTTGCTCAGGAACAGTTTCTCTTAGGTGCTTGAGGGCTATCTACTTTCGCTGGAGAGAGAGACAGTATCTTAGAGTAAAGCAGTCTTCTTAGAACAGATAGATCTTACACTTCAGCAGAGCTTGGTAATCTTCAGCAGAGAGATGCTGTGCTGGTGGTCTGGGCAGGAGAGGAGACAGAGTCAGAGTAAGTGGATCCGTGAGAGAATGTGCATGCTTCTTGATTGCCTTCTGCTCCAGCCTAATATAAGGCTGAGCTCGTGCTTCTCAATACCACAGGTATAGAGACTGCCAATTCACCAATGCTCTCATCTCGCGAGCTCACTCATGCTTGTTAGAACCAAATCTCTCTCCATGCCCTTTTCACCAAGGTGTTCCATTACAGGTATTTCTTACAACTCTCACTCCTCTTAGCCATAGGCTATACGGGCTGCTACATCTTCTGTCTCCTGTTTTCTTGCTGACCAAGTGAAATGTGGTCCAACCATTTTGGAGGAATATCTAGCAGTTTTTTTATAGTGATCCTCCCCTGGCCTATTACAGAGAAACTCCCAAATGTTCCCGAGTAGATAAATACGAGATTATTCGTGGCAGCATTGTGTTAATAGTGAGACATCAGAAATAACCCAAATCTCCAGGAATAGGAAGAAGGATTAATGAATTATATGCATAGATTAAAATTTTGTATAGCAGTTACAATAAATGAACCAAAGCTAATGAATGACTAATGCAAGTTTAAAAGATATCACTTAATAAATACTTTAAAGTATGTAAATAATGTATATTTTCAATTGTAAAATAAAAACATGTATGAGAATGGTAGATGTCTAATGCCAGATTATGGTTATCTTTGGAGAAGGTAAAATATAGAACTTGAGCTAAATCTGTAACATTAATGTTTACCTTAAAAATAATTGATGCAAATATGGGAAAATGTTAAAATTTGACTAAGCAGAATGGGAGGTATTCATTATATAATTCCCCAAGCCTTAGTGGATTCTTGAAATGTTTCTTTTGCTCTCTTTTTTTTTTTTTCTTAAAATAGAAGCATAGGAGAGAAGTGATAGGAAAAATTGATAGGCTAAGAAGTTGAAGGTTATAGTGGTAGTACTCTGTACTAAGAGATATAAGAGAGAGAATGAGATTTTTGAAGGTTTTTTCTGTATAGCATATGCTCTTGTTACCAATTTAGATTGAGTAATGCTGTCTAGTGAATTCAAGACCACTGTTTGGTTTTATGTGTCTGTAAAACCATATACCCTCAGCCCTCTGTGTCTGTGGGTTCCATATCTGTGAATTCAACTGAGTAAAGGATAAAAGTATCTTTTGAGGAGAAACCTGATAAAAGTAACTGTGTAACAATTTAAAATACAAATTTAAAAAATATGGTATAAAAACTACATAGCATTTATATTAAATATTATAAGCAGTAGTCTAGAGATGATTCAAAAAGTGTATGGGAGGATGTGTATAGATTATATACAAATGCTATGCCATTTTGTGTGAGGGACTTGGGCTTTTGCTGATTTTGGTGTCCCAGGGGTCCTAGAAGCAATGCTTCATGGATAACTGGGGGATGACCATATGCATATGTTATAGTGGTATATCAGAAACTATTTAATTGGGGAATGAGAGGGGCATACACTTATACTCATCTCTGCAACCAAGGCAAATATTTCTCTTTTTATATTTAATATAAATATGTATTTTAAAAATGCGAATGCATCCTGCAATTGCCTTAGTCTTGTCTTGTCTTTTTCTTTTTAAAATAAGCCTGCAGCTGTTCCAGATAATAGAAGACAGGCAGAAAGTCTTTCATTAACGAGGGAGGTTTCCCAGGGCAGGAGTCCATCAGTTTCAGAACATTTACCTGATGAGAAAGTCCAACTTTTTAGCAAAATGAGAGTGCTACAGGAAAAGAAGCAAAAAATGGACAAATTGCTTGGAGAACTTCATACACTTCGAGATCAGCATCTAAATAATTCTTCTTGTAAGTAAATTTGATTCAGCAGTATGAGGTAGAGGATACGTAGTTGTCTATTTTAAATTGCACATGAACTTTATGCACATCCTGTATACTTGCTGTCACCTGATAGGTTACTAAGTATTTGATGAATGAATGAATATATGGTTTCTCAAGAAAATTATATTTGTGGGCAGATGAGACTTAAATATGAAAAGTTTTTAAGTATCAAGTTTTATATTATAAAAGTTAAATAGATACAAATCTGTTTTGTAATTCAGAAAATGGAAAGGATAAAGTTGGGCCTTGAAAAATTGGTAGATTTTAGGGCCAGGCCCAGTGGGTCATGCCTATAATCATAGTATTCTGGGAGGCTGAGCTGGATGGGTCTCCTAAGCTTAGGAGTTCAAGACCAGCCTAAGCAAATGTGAGACCCCATGTCCACTAAAAAAACAGAAAAACTATTCAGGTATTGTGGCCAGTGTCTATAGTCCCAGCTACTTGGGTAGCTGAGGCAAGAGGATCACTTGAACCCAGGGGTTTGAGGTTGCTGTGAGCTGTGATGCCATGGCACTCTACCAAGGGTGACAAAGTGAGACTCCATCTCAAAATAAATAAGTAAAAGCTCTGAAACACAGATAAAGAGTGTTTATACAAAAAAGAAAAAGAGATAAACTTATATAGTAACATAAGTTAGTGTAGAAAGTCTGCAACTTACAACTCATTAGAGTTGTACTTATTATTTAAAAATACATAAATAATCATCTGAGGTAGCAATGACTATAGAAACTATGTTTTCTGCTCCACAGATGTTATGCTCTGTCTCAATCTTTAATTACTATCTCAAGCATGTCACTCATCCAAATAGTAATAGGGGTTCAAGCTTTGGAAATTGGCGTCAGTAGGGGCAATTCTGAGTGTCATTCTACAGCGTTCTAGCCATTGTCTTGTTAAAGAAGGAACAGGTGTAAAAGCATCATCTCTGGAATCCTTGTTTCTTATTCTCTACTCATCTTTTCTGGCACCTCTAAAAGAACCTTACTGTTCTTTTCTTATACTCTTTGCTTTCCCCTGACTTCTGCTGGTCTCCTAATCTCAGTCCTTACCCTTTACAAAGAGATGGACACAAAGAAAAACTTAAAATTCAAAGGTTGTGCTTCAGGCTTTATGATCAGTTTTGCACACATGAAGAAAGTAACACTCTGTCTACTGATGACTCCTGAATGTCATTTTTCCCACCAGGAAACAATGTTAGAGCAGTAGCAAAACATAGAAGGAAGGGACTACTGGAAACCAGCTGTAATTGTGGCGTTAAACTGAATGACAAATAATAGTCATCCTTGTGAGAAAGATGCTGACAAATGACAACAGCTTTGAAATGGTAGGAGATAGAGCAGTGCGAAGATACTTAATCTTTATTCATTGCCCTTGACGGCATAAAGTATCTTTGTCTGAGGGTAAGAGAAATTAAGTAGAAAAGGAATTAAAATTTAGTTCAATGACTTGATGATTGATTTGCTGTCATTTAATTAGCACATTTTATTGCTGTTTAGTAGTTCATGGTGTGGATGTGGCACAGTCACTTTAACACTTTTGCTTTGTCTTCTGGAGCAGGAAAACTTCCTTCTTGGTGGCCAGATGTAATTTTAAGGGCCTATCTTAAGAATGGTTCATTACTTAAGGCTGCTATATGAGGATTAGAGATTGGGTAATGCACAGTTATGTACAGTGGCCCCATTTAACTTAACCTAGAGCCAAGTTATCTGAGTATTCCTCTAGTTACTTTTCTAAAGTAGAATTTTTTTTTTGAGACAGAGTCTCACTATGTCACCCTCAATAGATTGGTGGCATCACAGCTCACAGCAACCTCAAACTCTTAGGCAGGAGTCCTCAGACTTTTTAAATGGGGGCCAGTTCACTATCCCTCAGACCGTTGGAGGGCTGGACTGCAGGCCCTGGGAGGAGTCGGTTGCTAAGCAGGACAGGCAACGGCGGCAAAAACACCCAGCGGGCCGGATAAGTGTCCTAGGGGCCATAGTTTGAGGACACCTGCTCTTAGGCTTAAGCAGTTCTCTTGCCTCAGCCTCCCAAGTAGCTGGGACTACCAGCATCTGCCACAATACCTGTTTTTTTTTTTTTTGTAGTTGTCATTGTTTCTTGGCAGGCCTGGACCTGGTTCCAGCCCACCAGGCCTGGTGTTATATGGCTGGTGCCCTAGCCGTTGAGTACAGGCACTGAGCCTCCAAGGTAGAATTTCATAATTCTTATCAACTTTTACCTTATCTTTTTCTTTTCTTTCTGTTTTAACCCAGTGACTATAATGTAAAAATGGTAGACTCTTCTGCAAAAAAGAAGTAAAAATATGTCTTGTGTGCATTTTGATGTGTTTAGTTGTGGATTATACTAATAAACAAGTGGCCTGCATTTATTCATCCTTGGGTTTCTAAAATTTAAATATACAAAAATTAAGATATTAATGATTTTTGCCTTCTGTTTTTCTATAAGAAAACTGAATAAATGTTGCTTGATGTGATGTTTGTTTGTTTATGGTAACTGATAGTTTTTTCTTATTTTGTAGTTGTGCCTTCACCCTCTCCACATAGGAGTGTGGATCAGAGAAGTACAAGTTCAGCTCCCTCTGCTCCTGTAGGCTTGACGTCTGTTGTCAATGGAGAGTCTAACAGCCTCACATCGTCTGTTCCTTACCCTGCTGCTTCTCTAGTCTCTCAGAATGAGAATGAAAGTGAAGGACACCTAAATCCAACTGAAAAACTCCAGTAAAACTTTTTTTTATATTTGTTGTTTATATAGATTAGAATTAAATGATAGGGATAAATTCTGGGTTTTTTTTCCTTTGATGATGTTGAAAATTCTGACAAACTTGGATTTATTTACTATGATAAACATTTTTAAGTGGTAGGGTAGAAGTGTGTATGTTCTATGTGAATTATTTGAGCTGTCTAAGGGAAATGTGACATTATAACAGGCAATTGCTGGGAACTGACATTATATCCGTATTTTTCAACTAAAGGATCAGAAATAGTATTACAGTTAAAATATGTATATTTAAATGGTTTAGGATATAGGCTGTAGGGTCAGCCAGTCCTAAAATTGTTATCATACCATACTATGTCACTGTGGACAAATAATTTACCTTTACTACTCCTGTCTTTCTTCATCTTCAAAATAGGATAATATGTCTGTACACAATAAGTGTGTTTTAAGGATTAGAAAACTTAACAAACTTACTTGTTTTTTCTGGTAAACATATTTTGTACTATACGTCTTGCATGAGTAGACAAATTGAGACCCTTCATTAATGTTTAATATGTCTATATACCTGATTTGCCTGAGAGGTAGTATTATAAATTGAATAATAAGTTCACATTTCTGATACTTAAGAAACCTGGAAAGATTTTTGACATTACGAGTTTTCCACTGTTAACATTTATACCTGCTTTAAGTGAACAATTAAATTGAAATTAGTTTTCTTAAGCTTTTGTCCTTAACACAACATAAGAAAATAATATGGTGAGATTTTGAGTAAGCCATACTTGACGTTAAACTCATTACTTTATAGTAACACCCCTAAATAACTGACTAGCTCTAAGTTTTGTTGATGCTGGCTGCTGTTTTATGAAAGTAATGTATGTATGCTTTATTTTGCTACAGTGGGTCTTAATATACATTTTTTTGTTTACCAGGAAGTTAAATGAAGTTCGAAAGAGATTGAATGAGTTAAGAGAATTAGTTCATTATTATGAACAGACATCAGATATGATGACAGATGCTGTAAATGAAAACACGAAAGATGAAGAAACTGAAGAGTCAGAATACGATTCTGAGCATGAAAATTGTGAACCTGTCACTAACATTCGGTAATGTTTTTCCCACATATTTATCCTAACTTAATACTTTCAGTTGGAAAAAAATACCTCATTAGAGTGTTTACTATTTATATTTTCCTTATATTTTCTCTCGTGTCTACTTTTTTGGTCAGAATATTCATCCTTGCTCTGTAAAGAAAAACAAATAGGGAAGTATTGAGTAGAGTAGGCTAGTAAATTTGTTGTTTGTTAGATCAAATTCAAGTAAATCATAAGAAGCATCTAAATTAGAATTTTTCTATCTTTATTTTTAGGTGTAATTTGATTTTTCAGATGTTTTCGTTCTTAAATTTCCATCCACATGATACATATGCAGAAGTTAAGCAGGAGCTGATTGTTCAGAGTTTGAATTTAAATGGAATCGTGTTCTTAGTTTGGAATTATGTATCAGCAGTTTAACATTTTGATATATATTCTTTTTGTACCTTAATTACCTTCAGACTGTTTTCTTTCTTCTAGAAATCCACAGGTAGCTGCCACCTGGAATGAAGTAAATAGTAATAGCAATGCACAGTGTGCTTCTAATAATAGAGATGGGAGATCAGTTAACTCTAATTGTGAAATTAACAATAGATCTGCTGCCAATATAAGGACTCTAAACATGCCTCCTCCTTTAGGTATGATTGAATATATTCACAGATACTTTTGCCATATTATTCTTTGATTGGTATCCTTAAGTTTGTAAACTATTAGTGATTTCTATTATACATGTTTTCAGCAGATTGTTGCTATAATAGAGAAGGAGAACAGGGGATTCCTGTTGCACAAGGGGAAGATGATGAGGAAGAGGAGGAAGAGGCAGAGGAGGAAGGAGTTAGTGGAGCTTCATTGTCTAGTCATAGGAGCAGTCTGGTTGATGAGGCTCCAGAAGATGCTGAATTTGAACAAAAGATCAATAGACTTATGGCTGCAAAACAGAAACTTAGACAGTTACAAGATCTTGTTGCTATGGTACAGGTAAATATTGATTGGTTTTTTAAAAAAATTTGTAAAATAGTAGTCTTACTTATAAAGTAAAATGTGTGGTCTGATAATCATGTTGATGTAATTCTACTGGTACAAATTTATTATATACCAGCTTTAAATGCTTAGTGCTATATGTGCTATAATCAGATTAGCAAATTTTTTCTGTTAAGAGTGAGTTAATAAATTTTAGGCTTTGTGGGCCATGTATTCTCTGTTGTAACATCTCAATACAAGAGCAGCCGTAGATAATATGTCAACAAGTGAACATGACTTTGTGCCCCTGTAGCTTTGTGTAGCATTTACAAAAATGAGGGGTTATTTTGTTTTTGTGTATATGTGTGTGGGGTTTTTTTTTTTTTTTTTTTTTGGTTTTTTGGTTTTGTTTTTGCTAATGACTCTGGCTTTGTAGAACTTGTAATATCTCAGTGAAATAGATATTAAACAGATTAAAGAGGTGTTAATTGATGGTGCCCGTAGCTCAGTTGGCAGGGCGCTATCCACATACCCATCTAGGATGGTAGGTTTGAACCTGGCCCGGGCCTGCTAAGCAACAGTGACAACTGCAACCAAAAAATAGCTGGGCGTTGTGGCAGCTGCCTGTAGTCCCAGCTACTTGGGAAGCTGAGGCAAGAGAATCACTTAAGCCCATGAGTTTGAGGTTGCTGTGAGCTGTGATGTCATGGCACTCTACCCAGGGTGACAGCTTGAGACTCTGTCTCAAAAAAAAAAAAAAAAGAGTGTCAATTGCCCAAGATTATATGACTTTCCTAGCTAGCATTCAGACTGTCTGATACCACCATCTGAGGTCTTAACTCATTCGATGCAAAAGAAAAACCATATGCTGTCTTACTCAGTAAAGTCAAACAAGTATAGTTAGAACTATTAATCATAAATTTAAAAAAAGCAACCTACACATTTAAACATGTAATTACATAGCTGTTAACGCCTCTATACTATTAACTAATGTGGGCCGAAGACTGAGTTAGCTTTTTGTAGTTTACTAAACTATATATAATCTGTCTAGAGCAACAAAAATGATTTAACTTTTTTTTTCTCTCTTTAAAAAACATTATTTATTTCCTTTTTATTTCAATAGATTTAGGAGGTATGAATTTTTTTGTTACATGGATGACTTATACCATGCTGATCAGGGCTTTTAGCATACCCAACATGAGGATAGTGTACATTCTACCTGATAGGTAATTGTTTACGCCTTCCTTGACTCCTTCCCCTGCTTTTAGTTCCCAATGTCCATTGTTTAGCTCCCACTTCTATTTTTTTTTTTTTTTTTGAGACGGAGCCTCCAACTGTCCCCCTGGGTAGAGTGCCATGGCATCCCGCTCACAGCAACCTCCAACTCCTGGGCTCAAGCGAGTCTCCTGCCTCAGCCTCCCAAGTAGCTGGCACTACAGGCGCCTGCCACAACCCCTGGCCATTTTTTGGTTGCAGCCATGATTGTTGTTTGGCGGGCCCGGGCTGGGGATTCGAACCCACCACCTTAGGTGTATGTGGCTAGCGCCTTAGCCGCTTGAGCCACAGGCGCTGAGCCAGCTCCCACTTCTAATGTGAAAACACATGATATTTATTACTCCATTCCTGAGACACCTCAGGTTACTGGTCTCCAGGTCCAAAAAAAAAATGATTTAACTTTTCATTTTTCATCTTTTTCCATTATATATCCTTAGCCTTTGATGTAAGTACTATAGAAATATTTTAGAGATGCTTTCTAACTATTGAAATTTCTTCAGTTATGGGAAACCCAAAATTTCTAGTGTTCATGGTATGTTTCTATTAAGTTTTTTTTAGCTTATTTTAGGTTGAAAACATCATATAGTTAGGTATAAAACATTAAAATTTACCACATTTGTAAAGGTATGTAAAATGGTTTTTATTGTGAATGAAGAACTCGTTTTATTCTCAACTTCTTTGGAAATGCTACCTAATTTAAATTACTCAAATAAAAGATGAATATTCTCTTACTGTTCAGAAAAGTGCACACCATATTTTGCTGTGTATAATGTGCTTCTGTATATAATGCACACCCACGTTTTTAGCCCAGACTTTGAGAGAAATGCCTCTCGAGAAAGTGGCCAGCTCTTGGCACAGAGAGACACATCTGGGAAGGGCTAACGCTCCCCTGGTAAATGTGTAGATCTCACTGTCCTGCAGCAACATTTTCTGTGAAGGCTGCCCCTTCTCTCCCTCCTGGGAGCCCGTCCCTCTACATCACAGTGGGGGTGTGGCATTTGTGTTTTTCAAGAATTTATATAAAGAAATAAAATTATGATGTTAGAGTTCATGTACATTTTAATTTTAATGGACACTGTTTAATCACTCTCCAGAATGGCTATTACTTAATGTTCTAAATGGGGGTGTATGAGAGAACCCATTTCTCCATACCATTGATTATATTTTATTACATTGGTATAATATGACTTGTTTAGCCATTCTGGGTATTGTCTTTTTCCATATTTTCCCTGTTATAAGAGTTATTGGGAGGAAGAGGTTACAAAAACATGCATGCAAACACAGGTGTAAAGACATGTATGTAGAACACACATGTAATCATGTATACAGACACATTGTTTACTGCTTTAATTTTTTTATGTTGTATAAATTTTGTAGACTAGTGGTATTTACTAAGGCATGAATTAGATAATGTCTTTAGGTATCAAGATTATTTTAACATTATGATGCTGTTTTAGGATGATGATACAACTGAAGGAGTTATATCTGCCAATACTTCAAATTTGGAAGATTTCTACACAGCAGAAGAAGACACCAAACAAAATTCAAATAATACTAGAGGAAATGCCAGTAAAACACAGAAGGATGCTGGAGTAAATGAAAAGACAAGGTATGTTCAGCACTTGGCGTTCATTTAATAAAAGTTCAGTGTCTGTTATAGAGAAGGCATGTACTCAGGTAGGTAATGTATTATGTTGTGCTTAGTGCTGTCATCAGATTTTATAAGAGTATCTATGTCAACTTAATTATAGAGAGAAATTTTATGAAGCTAAACTACAGCAGCAACAGAAAGAGCTAAAACAATTACAGGAAGAAAGAAAGAAACTGATTGAGATTCAGGAGAAAATTCAAGCGTTGCAAAAGGCATGTCCTGATCTACAGGTAATTATGATATTTATTTCTTTGCATTTGTCTGAAAAAAGGTATTTAAAACCTAATGTTGGCTCGGCGCCTATGGCTCAAGTGGCTAAGGCGCCAGCCACATATAACTAAGATGGTGAGTTCGAATCCAGCCTGGGCCTGCCCAAACAACAATGATGGCTGCAACCAAAAAATAGCCAGGCATTGTGGCGGGCGCCTGTGGTCCCAGCTACTTGGAAGGTGGAGGCAGGAGACTCTCTTGAGCCCAGGAGTTGGAGGTTGCTGTTAACTGTGATGCTACAGCACTCTACCCAAGGGGACAGCTTGAGGCTCGGTCTCAAAAAAAGAAAACCTAATATTAGGCTCAGGGAATGTAGCTCAAGCGGCTAGGGTGCCATACACCAGAGGTGGGGTGTTCATATCCAGCCTGGGCCTGCCAAACAACAGTGACAACTACAGCCAAAAAATAGCTGGGTGGTGTGGCGGGCACCTGTAGTCCTAGCCACTTGAGAGGCTGAGGCAAGAGAATAGCTGTCAATTCTTAAACCTAAGAATTTAAGGTTGCTGTGAGCTGTGATGCCACAGCACTCTACCCAGGGCAACATAGTGAGACTCTGTCTCCAATAAAAGCCTCATGTCAACTGAAAATACTCTTTTTCTGGTGCTTAGGTGATAGATGTGTATGTATTAATTTGGTGATAAAGGATAAATAGATGTGAGTTGGGGATACACACCTACAATATGTAAGATGGCATAGGAATTGACTCTGATTATTTCCATTCCTTTACTTAAATTGGGCTAGGTAGCTATAGATTCAGAACATAAGTACTCATAACTATATATATGTGTATTAAAATACTCTGCTTTGAATGTTGCAATTATAGATCAACATTTCAATCTTTTACTGGCCTCAAATTACATAATAAAGGCTTTAAACCAGTGTGAGTTATCTAAGTAATTATGTATATTTTGAATATTATATATATATATGTATGTTATATACTTTTCCTTATTCAGTAATACCCTAATATATGGGTCTTTGAGATTGAACCGAGAATCTTTGACCATTTATCAGATAACGGATAATGATACAGGAAGAGATTAACAGTTCCTTTTGGTAATTTTCTTTTATAGATAATTTTTATAGATAATAGGTAATTTTCTTAATAGATACTGGTTAACTTTATCTTCAGTTAGATTTTGTTTTCAAAGAAAGAGAAACACATCAGTGTTGTGTGTTTCCAATTTTACTGTTTATTTTCTAGATTCTGGCCTTTCCCGCTTTAATCCTTTCTCCTTATCCCTAATCTAAATAATAGAGGAATTTGTGTTCTGTATAAAAGAATTTTGTTAATACATTTTATCCCTATTGTCCTTATTCTTCTGAGACTTACTGTTATCAACTAAGCCTGTATTTTCATCTTTGTTTTCTGATATCAGGTTATCTTTGTACAGTTGGGGTGTAGTTATAACATTAAATGCAGCACTAGAGCCCTCAAAAAGTAAAATAAGTACTTTTATGAAATTAATATAGTTGCTTTAATTCTTCATAATAGTTTCTTACCAATTCTTTTTTAGCTGTCAGCCACTAGTGTGGGTAATTGTCCCACAAAAAAATATGTGCCAGCTATTACTTCAACTCCAGCTGTTAATGAAAATGAGACTAGTACAAGCAAATCTGTTTTTGAGCCTGAAGATTCTTCTGTAGTGGATAATGAGGTATTCTAAATTGTACTAGTGGATAATGAGGTATTCTAAATTGTACTGTTTTTCCTGAATTGCTCGTAAAACACTTCTTTAAAAGGGAAACTGAATATCTGTAAAATATGTTTTTAAATGGTAGTCCATATTGTATCTTTTAGTTGGGGAAGCAAACTGTTTTTTTCTGAAAAGTAATTATTTTGGGATCTTTCAAAATATTTGTGCTCTTTATTAGTAAAATTTGGCAGAATTATATTTAGGGGGTGGTTGCAGCAAATAGTAATCACTTTAGTTAGAAAGACCTATTCTTTGGCATTTCACTTATATGTGATTTGTAGAAAACATCACAACTTTTTCTAAATTGTTTTTATTAAGAATTAAAGATTGCCTATTTTTTCTTATTGATTGCCAAAATATTATATTACATGGGTAAAAAAGATAGGAATAGAAAGTTTTGTTGATATTGACAATATTATTAGCCCATTATTCTCTAAGTCTACAACAAATCCTGTATTTACTTGACTAATTTTTAGTTGTGGTCAGAAATGAGAAGGCATGAAATGTTAAGGGAAGAGCTACGTCAGAGAAGAAAGCAGCTGGAAGCTCTGATGGCTGAACATCAGAGAAGGCAAGGTCTAGCTGAAACTACATCTCCAGTGGCTGTGTCTTTGAGAAGCAATGGATCAGAGAACCTGTGTACTCCTCAACAAAGTAGAACAGAAAAGTAAGAGAGCTCTGTAAATCACGTTATTTTTTAATGTCACCTACCTAGACAGCCTCATTTCCTCTCTATACCATGGCACATATCTGCTATTTCAGTGAGGCTAGTGTTTAGTGTCACTTTTGTGACTTAAATTAACTGAATCTAGATAGCTGCTTTCTGTTCTAACTTCTCCTACCATCACCATCTTTTGTTTTAAATACTGTGGCACTCAATTAGACAGGTGTTGCAGATTCCCTTAGATGTATAAACCTTAAATTGAACATATCTTTGTAAGGTTCCTAAGGATCCTAAAACATATAAAAATTTAGTTTTAGAAATTTAAGTTTGAAATTTTCATATTAGAATATTTTTGTAAGATCAGTTTATGTAGTATTCAGATGTAAATTTTGAAATTCAGATATACTTACAACCTTTTGGCAAGGAACATTGCAGCAAGGTTCACTTTCTTAGAAGAACTTTTCTACTGAGCACAGGATGGTGTCTAATGCCTTTAATCTCAGTGACTCGAGACACTGAGGTGGGAAGATTGATTGCTTGAAGTTAGGAATTTGAGACTAACCTGGACAATATAGCAAGACCCCATCTCTTAAAGAAAATTAAAGTTGTTGGATTTGCTTGTGGTTCCAGCTACTACTCCTACTTTTATCAGAATCCTTCCTTCATCCCGTAATGTTTCCATGACACTGAACACTAGTTTGTTTTTCTTTCTCACCTTTAACATTTACTCCATCTGACATATTTACCTTATTTATTTCTGTACATTCAACTCCACTTCTGGCTAAGAATTCCAATACTATGTTGAATAGAAGTGGGAGGGTGGGCATCTTTATCTTGCTCCTGGTATTAGACGAAAAGTTTTTCAACTTCTTATCATTGAGTATGATGTTAGCTGTGACTCTGTCATGTATGGTCCCCATTGTGTTGAGGTATATTCCTTCTATACCTGATTGGTTGAGAGTTTTTTTTTTTTTTTTTTTGAGACAGAGCCTCAAGCTGTCCCCCTGGGTAGAATGCCGTGGCATTACAGCTCACAGCAACCTCCAACTCCTGGGTTCAAGCGAGTCTCTTGCCTCCGCCTCCCAAGTAGCTGGGACCACAGGTGCCCACCACAACGCCCGGCTATTTTTTGGTTGCAGCCGTCATTGTTGTTTGGCGGGCCCGGGCTGGGGATTCGAACCCGCCACCTTAGGTGTATGTGGCTGGCGCCTTAGCCGGTTGAGCTACAGGCGCCGAGCCGGTTGAGAGTTTTTATAATGAAACAGTGTTGAAAGTCACACTTCTCTCCCGTGTTCTACACTAAATTCACTGCCTCCTGGACATTTCCCTTGGGATGCCTGACAAGCACTCCATAACCAGCTTCTTTCGCAATGAGCCCATATTTCTCTTGATTGAATATGTTCATATTCTCCCTCTACCTTTATCTGTAAAAAACAAAAGTAAAAATTGGTTGGGTATGCCTGTGGTCCCAGCTACTCAGTAGACTGAGGAAGGAGGATCCCTTCAGCATAGGACTTTGAGGCTGCGGTGAGATATGATTGTGCCACTTGCTGTGACAGAGCAAGACCTCAGCTCTTTAAAAAAAAAAAAAGAACTTTCTGTTGTGTGGAAAGTAAACTAAATATATTTTATATTACAGTAATAGCGTATCACCCATCTCATATAGTTATGAATAAATGAAATTTTATGTATAGACACGTGAATATGTATGTTTAGAACAATGTCTGCAGTGTCTGTCACATAGTAGATGGCTTTATATTTATCTTATCTCCACAATGACATTTATGTTTTATACTTACCAGAACAATGGCAACTTGGGGAGGTTCTACCCAGTGTGCACTAGATGAGGAAGGAGATGAAGATGGTTACCTCTCTGAAGGAATTGTTCGGACAGATGAAGAGGAGGAAGAAGAACAAGATGCCAGTTCCAATGATAACTTTTCTACATATCCTTCTAACAGTGTGACTCATAACTCCTATAATGTAAAGGAAGCTAAAAATAGGTTAGTTTCGGTGTTTCAATTTTTTGCTTGATATAGAATTTCAGGTCTTCCTGTCTGAGTAACACCAAGTAATTCGGTAGTTCTCCAGACCAACTTGGTATTCTATATAATTCATTTCAATAATGACACTACTCAAGAGTTAGTGTAGACTCTACAGGTTTGGGGCACAAAAATGGCCTTACTTAAGATTCCAATCTAAGGTAACTAATTTCCAGGGTACCCACACTTCTGTCCAGCTTAGCTGCAAATTTGGGAATTCATCGGACACTTAGTTTCAGGTTTGATAATTCACTAGAACAACTCACAAAACTTAGGAAAACACTTCTTTTTGTTTACCAATGATAAAGGATCCAACTTATGGACAACCAAAGGAAGAGGTATATTAGGAAAAATGGATGAGGTGGGGAGGTATGTAGAGCTTCTGTCCCTCTGTGGGTATACCACTCTTCCAGCACTTTGGTGTGTTGACCACTCTGAGAGCTCTTGGAACTCCATTAGTTTGAGGTGTCATTGCATAGGCATGATCAACTAAATCATTGGCCACTGTTGGTTAAGTTTAGTCTGTGGCCCCTTTCTCCTCCCTAGAGGTCAGGGGTCTGATGATCTAGTTGGTTTTTCTGGTGTTCACCACCTCCCTCCCATTATGAAGCTATCTAAGGTCCTCTAAGAATCACTTCATTAGCGTAAACAGGTCTGATCGAAAGGGCTTGTTATAAATAGCAAAAGACACTACCACTCAGGAAATTCTAAGGGTTTTAGGAATTCTGTATCAGGAACCAAGGACAAAAATCCAGATACTTATTTACTGTCTGACTAACACTAAGTAATTCGGTAGTGCATAAATTTTCAGTCAGACCTCAGTTTATGCTAATGAAGTAATCAGCTAGGCTGCAGTAGACCCTAGCTATACTGGATCAAGATTCATAAACTTTCATCTTCATTTTGTTTTGGAGAATTAAGCATAATTGACACATTGTACTTAGTGAAAAAGGTCTGTCAGCAAAGGTATTCATTCAGTTGTTATTTATAGCAGTGAAAAATATTTTCATTAGTAAAAGATGGTAAAGTAGCTATAGTCTCACTCAGTGAAATGTTATGGCTAAACTTAATGAAGAATGGGAAAAAATGCTTGTTATATAATAAATATTTTCATTTTGTAGAATACAAAATTATTTGGATACTTTTGTATAAATACATAAATGAAAAAGACAGGAAAGTAATTAAAAATGATAATTGTACTAGGGTAGAAATCTAGAATTTTCCCCTTCTCTGTTTTTCATACCTTATAAGTCCTTTGAGCTTTTTTTTTTTTTTTTTTTTGGAGATAGAATCTCACTATATTGCCCTTGGTATAGAGTCATGGCGTTATAGCTCACAGTAACCTCAAACTCTTGGGCTTAAGTGATTCTTTTGCCTTAGCCTCCCAAGTAGCTGAGAGTACAGGCGCCCGCCACAACACCCTGCTAATTTTTTTTTTTTATTATTATTGTAGTTGTTGTCATTTGGCAGGCCAGGGCCAGGTTTGAACCTGCCAACCCCCATGTATGTGGCCGGTGCCCTAGCCACTGAGCTATAGGTACAGAGCCAAGTCTTTTGAACTCAAAAGAGAATATTGAGGCCCCAGGCAGTGGCTCATACCTATAATCTCAGCACTGTGGAGAGGCCTAGGTGGGAGGATCACTAGAGGCCAAAAGTTTGAGATTAACCTGGGCAAATCAGATCCCCATTGGTGCAAAAAACAAACAAAAAAATTAGGTAGTCATGGTGACTCATCCTACACAGCTACTTGGGAGGCTGAGGTCGGAGGATTGCCTGAGGTTATAGTGAACTATAATGATGTCACTGTATACCAACTGGGGCAAGAGAGGGAGACCCCATTTCTTAAGAGAAGAATAATGGTCCATAGACTAACATATCAGGGCTTATTGCCATATTTTAAAAATCAAATTATTACATCTGATAACTTAATGCTTTAAATCTTCTGTTAGGTGGAAGAACAATCGCCATTTTTCAACAGATGAAAATTATCGTCCTTTAGCTAAGACAAGGCAACAGAACATCAGCATGCAGAGGCAAGAAAACCTTCGCTGGATGTCAGAGCTCTCTTATGTAGAAGAGAAAGAACAATGGCAAGAACAAATCAGTCAGCTAAGGAAGCAGCTTGACTTCAGTGTCAATATTTGTCAGACTTTGATGCAAGACCAGCAGGTAAAATTTAGTATGAAAATAAATGTTTCTTTTATCTTCATTGCTTTTGAAGCAATACAAAGTTTTCTCAAGTTGTAACTATTAAAAATTTTTTTTTAATAGACTTTGTCTTGTCTTCTACAAACTCTTCTCACGGGTCCTTACAGTGTTATGCCCAGCAATGTAGCGTCTCCTCAAGTACACCTTATCATGCACCAGTTGAACCAGTGCTATACTCAGCTAACATGGCAACAGAATAACGTTCAGAGGTAATCTCTTTCCTAGAAGTATTGAGACTGTACAGTAAAAGCTAAACTTGAGTGAAGGTTTTACAGTTATCTTCTGAGAGAAGGGGATCAACCAAATTGCATATTTGGATATTCTCTATCACCTGAGAATTTTATAAGTGGTAATTTGCTTAATGTTTCTTTTTATTTAATATTGTGGACTTTTGCTTGTTAAAAGTTTGTATTATTATACAAACTTGTATAATGTATGGTATGTGGATTATACACAATAAAGCTATAAACAAGCAAAAATTGAGTTTCTTACAGTTATACCAGCTTTCTGGTAGAAGTGCTAAGTTTAGTTCTTGTTTCACAGGCGAGGTTATTGAACTAAGCCTGTAGAGCAAGCAGGTATTGTAGTGTCAGAGTAAGTCTGTTCTGTGTGCTATTGAATCATTTCTTATGTACATTCTTTCTGTTCTTTATATATGTACGTCACTATGAGAGTTTTGAGACAGATTGTGTTATGATTTATTATTTCACTTTGAAGAAACACAGTCGACAGCATACTTTCTCATTCACTGCAGCAAGTTTCAGCTTGCTTGGCTTATTGGTGTTGCTGGGAGGGCTTCATTTGTTTCTTGATTTTTGTGTATCTCAAAACTTTAGCATTGACCTACATAGATGGTAATATAACTGACTTTTTGTTTATTGACAACCTAAATTTTTACAGGTTGAAACAAATGCTAAATGAACTTATGCACCAGCAAAGTCGGTGTTCAGAAAAACCTGGAAGCAAGGAAAGAGGCAGTAGTGGATCACACCCTCCTTCTCCCAGTTTATTTTGTCCTTTCAGCTTTCCAACACAGCCTGTAAATCTGTTTAATCTACCTGGATTTACTAACTTTACATCATTTGTACCAGGTAGGTGACTAAAAACCTACAGAAAAAATACATACAAGTGTTTGGGAATGTAATTTGTCTATTGTGTGGATTTATAACGTTTTCTTTTGGAATCTTAGAATCTGTTTGCAAAGAAATTTACAAACTTTTCTACATTGTTTCTTTGAAATAAAAATTTAATCTTAATAATATGGTTGTGAAAAAGTTAAATATGCTACTTAGGAATGCTTCCTTCACCAGAGGAAAAAGAACTGACTTATCCCCCAGTGGCTGCTGTACACTAGGACATTGTGTGAAACATGAGGAAAGTAAAGATGAATGAGACATCCAACAAAGAAAGAAAATTACAGACCAATATCATTAATGAATATCAATGCAAAAATATTCCATAAGATCTTAGCAAACAGGATTCAACAACACATCATAAAAATTATACAGCATGATCAAGTTGGTTTTATTCCAGCATTACAGGTTTGGTTCAACATATGCAAATCTATAAATATACATCACATCAATAAAATTAAAAATAAAGACCATATGATTCTCTCAATTGATGCAGAGAAAGCCTTTGATAATATCCAGCATCCTTTCATGATCAGAATTTTTAAGAAAATAGGCATAGAAGGAACATTTCTTAAACTGATAGAGGCCATCTACAGCAAACCCACAGCCACTATCATATTGAATGGTGTAAAATCGAAAACATTTCCACTCAGATCAGGAATGAGGCAGGGATGCCCACTGTCGCCACTGCTATTCAACACAGTAATGAAAGTCTTAGCCATTGCAGTCAGGCAAGAGGTGATCAGGGGTATCCAAATAAGGTCAGAGGAGATCAAACTCTCACTCTTTGCTGATGACATGATCCTATACCTGGAAAATCCCAGGGACTCAACCTCAAAACTCTTAGATGTGATCAAAGAATACAGCAGTGTCTCAGGATACAAAATCAATACTTAATAAGTTAGTAGCTTTTATATATGCCAACAGTAGTCAAGCTGAAAAAACAAGGACTCTATTCCTTTTACAATAGTGCCAAAGAAGATGAAATATCTGGGAATTTAACTAATGAAGGACATGAAAGATCTCTATAAAGAGAACTATGAAACTCTGAGAAAAGAAATAGCTGAAGATGTTAACAAATGGAAAAACATACCATGAGCATGGTATGATGCATGGCTGGGAAGAACTAACATTGTTAAAATGTCCATACTACTACCCAAAGCAATCTACAGATTGCTTACTTATTTGGATATCCTTGATCAATGCAATCCCTGTTAAAGCACCATTGTTATACTTTAAAGAAATTGAAAAAATAGTACTTAATTTTATATGGAATCAGAAAAAACCTCGAATAGCAAATGCATTACTCAGAAATAAGAACAAATCAGGAGGTATCACATTACCAGATTTCAGGCTATAGTATAAATCTATAGTGATCAAAACAGCATGGTACTGGCACAAAAATAGAGCGGTAGATTTATGGAATAGAATAGAGAACCAAGAGATGAACCCAGCTACTTATCATCATTTGATCTTTGACAAGCCTATCAAAAATACTCAGTGGGGGAAAGACTCCCTATTTAGCAAATGGTGCTTGATGAACTGGCTGGTGACCTATAGAAAACAGAAACTGGACCCCCACCTTTCACCATTAACAAAAATTGATTCTTACTGGATAAAAGACTTAAATTTAAGACATGAAACTATAAAAACACTAGAAGAGAGTATAGGGAAAACACTTGAAGAAATTGGTCTGGGAGAATATTTTATGAGGAGGATCCCCTGGGCAATTGAAGCAA